TGTCAATTTTTCTATAAGGTAAAATATGAAAAATGCAGTTTTACTTATTCTTAAATTAGCTGGACTTTGGTGGATAGATTCATGACATATCCAATCTACATATTTTACATAAAAACAAAAGTTCGTACGTAATATACTTTCATCCTTAAAACTATACAATAGTCACCGCCTGGCGGGGGTAACGCTCGACTTTTTCCTTTTTCTAAAAGCAAACAAAGAAGCAAACATTTGAACAAATCGTAACGTTTCCTTATTTAAAGCTTTAATAGGTCTGTCTTGTCACACAAGTTTTGTCAAAGTATGAATCCTTTCCATAAATCAATTACAATAAAAAGAAGATATTATCAAAATTCAGAAAAAAATGCATTATGTATTATAGAAAATAAATATACATGAAGGTCTTGTCGTTAAAAATGGAAATTTCAATAATTGACCTTCAAAGTCAAGGTCATTTATGAATGAAGGTCAAAGTCTGTCTAGTTAATTTAAAGGGCTATCCTTGAAAATTATTATTTTCAAGATTGAAGACAATCCATTAAAAAATAACAAAGTTATAGCAAAAAATAGCAAGAACAAGCAAAATTTGGACATTTGACCTTAAAGGTCAAGGTCATTAATGGATGAAGGTCGGTCAATGTTAGTCTGGTCTGGTCTGAAAGGTCTTGTCCAAAGGGTTGTTGTGGCTAAGTATGAAGACAATACACCAAGAACTTAAAAAGTTATGATCCAGGTACAAGTTTGCGGACAGAAACGGCAACGCCAACGCCCCTAGGACTATAACAATACCCCAACTTTAAAACAACAACAACAAAAAAACAACAACAACAAGTCGACCTAACAATGTCTTCTCACCATTTCAAATTTTGATACATATACAAAATACTGAAGTGAAGCAATAATAAAATTGCCAAGTTTCGGCATTTTTCTAAAATTGACAAGGAAAGTATTGCCCTGAAAGAAATTTCAGATCATCTTTGTAACGTTTCCAGATGGTCAACATAAACATCGTCATAGTTGTACATAAGAATGATTTCAATCATGCTTCATGCAAGCATCATTTTCTTTGAGATAATGTGAATAAAAGTATTCGTAACCATGATTTTGTATAAATCTACATGTAGATTAATACAGATTCTTTATCCGAAAGTTATCGATTTTTAGAACAGATCTCTTATCAGTGACGTAAACGAAGCTTATCTCAGACCAATGGCTAATAATTTAAGCTTCTAAATTTATGCTCAAAATGAAGAATGCCAAAAGATATGAAAGACAAATTTTATTAATTAACAAAATGCCAAAAATATTGATCATTTTTCCTGGAGCCCCTAAAAGAGACCAAATAATTAATTTGAACAAATTTGAAAGCAGATTATCTAAGAAGGCTAAAGACAAGGTTTGGTGATCATCCATCAATTAGTTCAGTTTAGATTTTTCTATTTTTAGTTATAGTGGCCCCTAAAATGGAACAATGAAGTTGATATGAGCTAACATGATAAAAGGCTACCTAAGAATGCTACAGACAAAGTTTGGTGACCATCAATAAGTTCAGTACAAGAAGATGATAAAAGTTTATTATATTTTTAGCTCTAGCGACCTCTTAAAGGGTCCAAGCAAATTAATATCAGCGAATTTGATAAAATACTACCTACCAATGATACAGACAAAGTTTAATGACCATCCATCAATTAGTTCAGTAGGAGAAGTGGTTAAAAGGTATTTCTATTTTTAGCTTCAGAGGTTCCTAAAAGGGGCAAATTAATTGGAACGAATTTGATAACATACTATCTAAGAATGCTACCGACAAAGTTTGGTGATCATCCATCAATTAGTTCAGTACAAGAAGATGATTAAAGTTTATTCTATTTTTAGCTTAAGCGGTCCCCCAAAGGAGCCCGACGAATTTGAGAAAAGACAACCTAAGAATGCTACAGACAACGCTTGCTGATCATCAATCATTTAATTTAGGAGAAGAAGACGTTGAAAGGTTTTTCTTATTTTAGCTTTGTAAACCCCTCAAAGTGGCCAATTGAAATGAGATGAGCAAATTTAAGTGCTAGTGTCACAAGGATGCTACGGACAAAATTTGAGATTAACCTGCCCAGCAGTTTCAGAGAAGATGATTGTTGACACATGACGACGATCGCCCTTTGAAACTTTCGGTTCTGTTGAGCTTATTATGGGCCTTGTAAAATGATCTCCAGTTATGTTCAAAAACATGTATTAGCTTTCAAGTAATGCCTTCAGTTGTTTTAAAGATTGATGTTGCACGGACAACTTTTTATTAGGATTTTTCTAACTTCAAAAGGTCATTTTCTTGTCAAAATCTATGTTGGAGTTATGTTAAGTGACCGTCCTAAATCATCTAAAATAAGTGTTTGAAGATATTCTTTGATTAGTCAACTTAAAAACAAAAATACTAACCAAGACTGATTGATTTTAGTCTAAAATACATGTACATGTGTATATATAATGATTTTTTAAAAATATTTACCTGGAAACTTCCTTTACAGTCTAAGCATTTGTATAGAACCTCTTCCTCACAAGCACCTTTATCATCCTTAACTTGCAGAACATATCCGTAATTCTCAGCACTGTACGTGGTTATAGGTTTATCCCAAGTAATATGAAAGCTTCGGCTTGTAACATCTGATATTTGTAAATTTTCTGGCTTCATGGACACTGAAAAAAACCCCAAAACAATAACATGATAGTAATGCAAATCAGCCTATTTTACTAGCCTATTTAGAGGGATAACTGGTCTATGTCAGGCAACAGCAATTTTCATATACCTCAATGGATCTGTAGTTTCTGGAATGAATATTTATTTGACCAAACTCAAAGCAAAGCTGAGGTATCCAAAATGGTGTTAAAGATGGTCTCATATTCCCTAAGTATTCTAGTATATTTGCGGCTTTTTTCAGTTTTGTAAATCAATTGAAATTTAAAACAAAATTTATTTTAATCTACCACATGTTATAAATTAAACTTTACTGAATTTTTTGTAGCTTTTGTCGTCTCATTTTCATGGTAGAAAAAATATGCAGTGTCTTGGTGTCTTTTCTTTATATGTCTAACTTCTTAGTTTGTTTTTGTTTAAACGGAAAAAACATTCATGATTAACTCTATAATAATCATTATATGATTATAAATATATATAAACTCTTTATAATATTCCTTTGTATAATTAGAAAGATACATTTGTAAGCTTGTTTGATGAATTTTTGGTATAAGTGAACTATTTCATATTCATGATTTAGTTATATACATTTTCGGTATAAGTGACCTATACCATATAATTATGTATAAATGTATTGTATTGATCTAAACCCATAAAAATGGGTGGGGTATTACGAACGAGGGTTCAGCCGTAAGTGAAATACTTTTCTCTTTTGTATTATAATGAACAAGAGCCACCGCCGGGCGTGGGCAATGCATGAATGTTTTACTTTGTCTAAAACAAATCTTTAGAAAAAAAGTTAAGTTTTCTATTTCTTAATTTTAATAGGTCTGAAGATTCACACTGGTATTGACAGAGCATAAATCCTTTCCATGAATAAATGACAATGTTAAGTAATTTTCTTTTCAAAATTCAATCATCTGTCGCTCAAGGTCACTTAAAGATCAAGGTCTTATCTAATTTATAATTCCACATGTCTGTTTGGTCACAAATGTTGTTTTGTCCACAGATGAATAAAAAATGTATGTATATATATAGGTTGTTTTGTCCAAGTATGAAAAAACAAATCCATTGATTCATTACAAAGTTATAGCAATTTTTATAGTAATTATAATCAGTGAAAATGAAAAAAAAGAATAAATATCATATTGTTTATAAAGTTCAAGGTCAGTTAAACCTTTTAGAATATCTTGTACAAAATGTTGTTTTGTCCAAGTATGAAAATAATCCGTTGATTGAAACATAAAAGTTTGCCATGGCAAAATATTATAATTAACAAAGGGTATGGAAATGTAGAACTTTTCTGTCTTTGCCATGGCAAACCATTCTAACATTTAAGACCCATGTGACCCTAATTTTTGACCAAGTGACCCCAAGATCAAAAGAGGTCATCTTCTAATAATGACCAATCACTATATGAAATATGACTACTTTGTGAAGAATAGTTTTCAAATAATCAGCGGAAACCATGTTGTTTTCCGGCGGACAGACCGACCGTCATTAGCAAAACAAAATACCCCCTCTTCTTTAAAGGGGGGAGGGCATAAACAACAATTTAAGGGCCATAACTCGTTGTGCATCTTTTACTTAGTCAAGGGCAAGGACTTTACAAATACTTAATCAATCGACAAAAACACCAGGGTGCATAAGTACATATGCTGACCAACATTATTGTAAACTTTCAGACCTACAGGTCCAATACTTTTTGAGCTATGCATGAACAAGTTGAAAATTGCAAATTTAAACTGAGTCAAGAGCAATAACTCTTATAAAACTGAACAAATCAAAATGCAAAACCACAGTTGCACAGCTTCACAGTGATGTTGATGATTATTCCTGTATAGTTGGTTGTTTCCAACTCAAGCACTCAAGGCATAATGGAATGGTTATTTTTAAGACAAAGGCAATTTCTCTACACATACTGAATAAATCCACAATCAAACCCAGGCCCCGTGTTCACAAAGAAAAGGATCAAGTGATCCTGATTTTATTTTCTTTGTTTTATATAACTAATATTGATCGTATTTTGCTAGAATTGAATGGTACATAAAGCTAATGTAATATTTTGCTGATTTGCAAAGAAACAATCCTGTTTTGGGATAAAATAGACAAATAACGAAACAAATACAAAAATAATGGGATCAAAATAAGGATCAATTTTAGGATCAAGATCATTTTTTGGATCAACTGTAAAATGCCCATATCTTTCAAAAATTACAATAAATTTATTCTTTAATTTCAAAAACATGCTATTTCAAGTCCAGTTTTATCAAGTTAATATTAAATATCTAATCTATAAGAATTAACAATGGATAATATTTGAGTTTTTAGATTTGATCCTGATCTTGATCCTGATCCTAAAATCTTTGTGAACACGGGTCCAGGGCCACAACTAGACATGACAACCAATATTCCAAGTTTCATGATTCTTGGTCAAATACTTTTCAGCTATGTGTCACACAAGTTGAGAATTGCAAATCTTTAATTAGTCAAGGGCAATAACTCTACAAATACAAAATCCCCAATAAAGCCTCCAGGTGAAAACTTCACATGCTGACTAACATTTCAGTAATGGTTCAATATTCTAGGTAAAATACTTTTTGAGTTACCTGCGACGAAGTTGAGAATTGCAAATTTTTACTAAGTCAAGGGCACTAACTCTACAAACACTAAATAAATCCACACAAAAATACAAAGATGCCAACTACACATGCTGACTAATGTTCCTGTTAAGTTTCATGATATTAGGTCAAATACTTTTTGAGTTTCGTGCGACACAAAATGTGAACAGAAGGACAAATAGACGGACGTACTTAACACGAGAACTGGTTGAACTGGGTGATGTTCCCAGAATAGGTTTGGACACAGAAAAGAATACCTCTTGTAGTGTAAAAGTATGTTCCGGACACAGTTCAAAGTGAAACAATGAACAAAGGGCAATAACTCCAAAATTAGGTATGGCAGAGCTACTGTTCTTTGCACTACGCTTCTAAATAATGATATATATCCACCAACAATGTTTCATTTTGGTATCTCTTATAGTATAGAGTAATGTACCGGAAGTAAAGTACAGTTCAAAGTGTTAAAATAAACAAAGGGCAATTACTTCCAAATTAGGCAAGACAGAGTTATGGTTCTAACGCATTGCACATCTACTTAATGAGATCTATCTACCTACAAAGTTTCATGTTGATATGTCATATATTTTTAGAGTGAAGTCTCGGACAAAGTTCAAAGTATAAACATGAACAAAGGGTAATCACTCCAGAATAAGGCAAAGCAGAGCTACGGTTCTTGTACACTACACACCTACCCAATGAGAACTATCTACCTACAAAGTTTCATGTTGATAGCTCTTGTTGTTTCAGAGTTATGTTGCGGACAACAATAGCGGACGGATGGACGTCCGATCGAATAGGGACAAAGGGCCATTTCTATTGTTATTTTCTTTTGTTTAATAGAGAGCCATGGCCAGTTATTCTATTGTCACTGAATGAATTCGATTACACTCTTTTGTTCTGTTTACAGTTAGATGGCCTTTTATCCCTATTCGGTAGTGGGACATACAGACGAACGAATGGACAAAGCGGAGACTATATACTCACCCTTTGAGGAGCATAAAAATGGTACTTTTCCTTTGATCCTTTTAGCCATTTTTAGCCATACAAGGCTTAAAAAAGACACACAAGTAAAACCTGAATGAAAAGGATCAAAGAGAATTTACTGTTCCCCATTGTTCGCCAAGTCACAAAGGTATCTCTGGGTTTGTACGGACGGAAGTGCAAGTTTACATCTAAATGCCCCCACCCCTTATAGTGGGGGCACTAAAAGCAAAAAAATAATGTTAAAGTTTATTGTATGAAACGCTTTAAATAACATCTTCCGTGCAAAATTTCACTTCAAAATACAAATGTGGAAACAAACGTAAGCAAACATCCATATATGTGAATATTTAGGGATTTGGCGGTCATCTTTGACGCTATCTTGGATTTCTAAGCTTCAAATCAGACTTGAGGCAAATACATATTTATTCCGGAACTACAGACCTTGATGAACAATTTGGAATGTAGAACTTGCTGTTAGCTGACATAGACCACTTCGATGTCATTTAACTCTATGGATTTGCAGCACTAATATATATATATATGTATGTAGTTAAAAAGTTTCTAGGGAAAACAGGTTATTTAAACATCTAGCCTATATTTTTTTTAAAAGATACTGCTTATAATATGGTAAAGTTCACTCACTTATTATATATTATGTATGCCAGTGTATGTGCTGTTTCTTATATTTATTAATATATATATATGTATATATATATTTTATAAAGAATTCAGGTAGATTTTTTGTCTGTAAAACATCTTTGAAAACTAGAATTTAAAGTAAAAAGTTTACATTTATAAGTATTGTAAACAACATATATGGTGTTTTTATATACTAAATCTTTATAAAATTTTATATCGTAAATTGGATCGATTTATTCTTATTTTAACACTATGTACATGTATACTTACTCTTAGCTCTAGTTTTGCAAGATGATGAAACCTGGTCAAAATTGGTTGAAATGTATCCTTCATTTTCTGTATATAACCGAAATATGAAGTTTGTTCCTAAAAGAAGCAATACTCAATAAGTTATATTTGGTAACGTTTATATATTATGATCTAAATGAAAAGCAAAATATTATCAATTATCTAAATAACTATATACATAAGAACGTTTACATTATATCATGTATGACAGTATGTTGATAATGTCATAATTACCTGGCTGAAGATTTCCAACAACGTTTTGTGTTTTAGTTCCGGTAGTGTTATCACGAAACAGCACTTTGTAACTTGTATCCATTACATCAATATGATATCTCACTAAATCACCATTAGGTAAAGAAGGCGCATCCCAATCAAGTGTTATAGCACTGTCTGTTGGAGATTTGCAAACACCATTACGTGGTGCCTCTGGAACTTTAATTTAAAAAAACAGAAAGTTTGAAAATATTATTCTTTTCTGAAACAATAGTTTACTTGTTAGGATTTACTATTATTGTTTTAGTATATTCTAACATAAGAATGCTTTTCTTATAACACAAATTAAATGGTATAGTTTGTTCTTCATGCAAAATGCAATTTGAATATACCCAACATAACCTCAATATAATGTAATTAAAAGGCATGATAAAGAACAATTACCTTGGACTTTTGTTTTAACTGTAGAAACCTTTGTCTCACTCCATAAAAAGTCTCCATTAAACTGTTGACTCCTTGCTGTTACAATTACATTATATCTGTAACCATTCAGTACATTGTTAAACGCCGTAGATGAAGATGAGGTTTCCTGGGACGCTTTCTGTGTATCACCATCAAATAACTTTACTCTATATAACGTTGCTTCACCCGTTCCTGATGTCCATCTAATAGTAATGATTCTATCACGAGCATCTAAATCATTTTCTGAACTTGTTACAGGACCTGGAATGCTAGGTTCTGAAAAAAAGAACAAAAATATAAATATAAAGATACACTTTAAAAAGATAACAATTTTTCCCATTTTTTGAACCACAATTAAATCTGTTATTGATAAAAAGTAGTCATGTACCTTTCTAGTTTCAACAGAATTTCGCATCTCATATGGTCAAAAACATGTAGGTTGTCTCTTCTATTCTAAATTTTTATACAATTCATTACTTGTGTGCAACTTTTATTTGTGTTATACACTTAACTATAGTCGTCAAATCAAGCTTGAATAATGAATGCCTTACCGACATTATTTATGCGTGGTTTTACAATTTAAATTATTTTATAATGATCAATAGTTGTGGTTTAACAAATCAAATACATGTACAATACAATGCTGATGAACATGACACCAACAAATTTGTTATAAAGGACCACCTTTGAACTGATTAAATAGTGCAAAGCCAACAAGCATACTTGGTTTATATGGAATTTACTTAAGCTCTATTGTGTAGAAAGCTATAAGCTTAAGACAGACTTTTTACATCCATTCCTGGAACCAACCAATACAGAACAATAAGTGGAACCAACGAGTACAGAACAATAAGTGAAAAGTTTCTTGGTCAAGGAAACAATGACTTGCCCCTGACAGGGCTCAAACTCATGCAGCTGGTGATCATTAGATTACTGATGAATTAACCACTTGTCCATGCCACCACTTTGCTAAAATGTGTAAAACTATACATTCTAACACAACCTGCATTTTTCCCTGTTGAACATTAAAGAACCGAAAGTGAGTGTTATTATGCTATAAAATCACTGTTGACATCCTATACTTAGACATGTGAAGTGATCATTATACATGTGATGTAACTACTGAAAATGCGACAACCTCGTGATATAATTCTTCGCATCCAAACTTCAATAAGTTTTTATTGAGCGATAAAATCTCTGCTTGGGATATATCATTTCTTGAACGAAACCTTATCTTACTTGGACTTTTGTCACCTGTAGTACATCACAACAATTGTTCAAAATAGGTTATATTCCAGAATATCCAACTAAGAAAAATTAAGATAATAATCATATGCAAAAGTGTCCTCTCCCTTATTCTGCATCATAATGTAACAAGAGAGCCATGATTGCCCTGAGGTCGCTCACCTGTATAAAGGCACCCGGAGCGGGGCCAGTTTAATGTTTTTAAGTTTGTTAAGGTTTTACTACACACATATAATGAAAAACAACAATCTACCCCCCTCCTTCCACCCCCCCCCCATCTTGGCAGGGCCAATTTTAACCCAAGGGCTTTTATTTGAACAAACTTGGTAGACTACCATAAGAAGATGTTTCATGCTAAACATCTAAGCTCTAGCTCATTGGGTTTTTTTAAAAGAAGATTTTTTAAGTTTTTACTATACACATATAGTTAAAACCAATGACACCCCTGGGGCGGGGCCAATTTTGACCCCAGGGCTTTTATTCGAACAAACTTTGTAGACAATTACTAGAAGATGTTTCATGCTTAATATCTTACCTCTAGCTTTTTGGTTTCTTTCAAAAAAGATTTTTAATTTTTTGCTATACAAATATAAGGAGAATCAATAACACCCGGGGCGGGGCCAATTTTGACTCCAGGGCTTTTATTTAAACAAACTTTGTAGACACTCACTAGAAGGTGTTTCATGCTTAATATCTAAACTCCAGCTATTTGGGTTTTTTCAAAGAAGATTTTTTTAAGTTTTTGCTATATACATAGAAGGAAAATCAATGACCCCCCGGGGCGGGGCCAATTTTGACCCCAGGGCTTTGTTAGACACCAATTAGAACATGTTTCATGCTAAATATCTTAGCTCTAGCTCTTTGAGTTCTTAAAAAGAAGATTTGTTAAGTTTTTACTATATGCATATAGGGAAAATCAATGACCCCCTGGGGCGGGGCCAATTTTGACCCCAGGACTTTTATTTGAACAAACTTTGTAGACACTCATTAGAAGATGTTTCATGCCTAATATCTAAACTCTAGCTATTTGGGTTTTTTCAAAGAAGATTTTTAAGTTTTTACTATATGCATATAGGGAAAATCAATGACCCCTGGGGCGGGGCCAATTTTGACCCCAGGGCTTTTATTCGAATAAACTTGGTAGACACTCATTAGAAGATGTTTCATGCTAAATATCTTAACTCTAGCTCTTTGGGTTCGTTAAAAGAAGATTTTTAAAGTTTTTACTATATGCATATAGGGAAAATCAAAGACCCCCTGGGGCGGGGCCAATTTTGACCCCTGGGCTTTTATTTGAACAAACTTAGTAGACACTCACTAGAAGATGTTTCATGCTAAATATCTTAGCTTTAGCTCTTTGGGTTCTTTAAAAGAAGATTTTTAAAGTTTTTACAATATGCATTTATGGAAAATCAAAGACCCCCTGGGGCGGGGCCAATTTTGACCCCAGGGCTTTTATTTGAACAAACTTTGTAGACACTCACTAGAAGATGTTTAATGTTAAATATCTTAGCTCTAGCTTTTTGGGTTCTTTAAAAGAAGATATTTTAAGTTTTTACTATATGCATATAGAGAAAATCAAAGACCCCCTGGGGCGGGGCCAATTTTGACCCCAGGGATTTTATTTGAACAAACTTGGTAGACACTCATTAGAAGATGTTTCATGCCAAATATCTAAGCTCTAGCTCTTGGGGTTTTTTAAAAGAAGATATTTAAAGTTTTTTCTTTCGGTTGCCATGGCAACCAGAGTTCTGCATGGAATTAAATTCTTTGAACAATATTTAAAGGTGACCACCAAAGGAACATTCCTGTGAAGTTTGGATGAAATTGGCTAAGTGGTTTATGAGGAGATGTCATTTAAAGTAAAGTTTACGGACGGACGTACCAACTTTTGATATTTAAGAGGCAAATCAGCTCATAAACTACACCTGGACGTAAGTCCATAAGCAAAATTAGCTCATAAAAACAAAAAAAATAGCTCTTAATTTGAATTTTATGAGTTTTTGTTCTTTATTTACCTACGGAATGAAGCTCATAAATATCAAATGTTTGCTCGGACGGACGGACGACGGACGGATGGACGGACGGACGCCGGACGAAAAGCGATCATAAAAGCTCACCCTGTCACATTGTGCAAGGTGAGCTAAAAATACATGTAATGGATTTTTTAATTCTTACTTGCAGCTTGTTGTTTTGATGTAGAAGTTATCCTTGTAACACCAGGTTCTGTGGCTGTATCTTTTGATATCACTTTAACTTCATACGTTTTTCCAGGTGTCAAACCTGTAACCCTTTGAGGTGATGTTGCACCGGCCACCTTAACCCCACTTTGCAATTCTACATCATATCCACTTACATAACTAGATCTAGTAGGTGCAGTCCAAGATACAATAAATTCTGTGGTTTTCATACTTGAAAAGGTAATGCCTGTAACTTGAAGTTCTTGCACTGAAATCAAACAAATGAAATGAACTATTTTAACGTCTGAGGCATTCACTACAGTATCAAGAATTATATATGATCCGTTCACATATTTTTATGGCATGCTTTTGTTTTATACCTTCATAACTTGAAATATATAATAAGTAACTCAATGTATATTACACTGTACATCATATACATTATTATGCATATATTTAAGCCGATTACCTGGCGTGGTTAAAATCAAAACAAGAAAATTTGTTGAATAATTACTTTCCCATTTAAATGAATTTACTGAAGCTGCTTTGCATCACTGGCTTTTGAAGATGATCTTTGACCTTACTATTCATATGGTTGAAAACCATTAAAATATTTAATTAGTGAAACATCACTAGTGGATTATGTGGGCAATAATTATGCATCATGTTAATGTTAATATATAAGGGCTGTTTGAAAAGGTCATATAATTTCACAAATTAAATGCTCAATGATCACAGGAACTAAGAAGAGCCATCAACAAGTGGGGACCACACTCATTTTTTTACTTATTTCTAAAGTCAAACACATTTGAGGAAGAATATTGCAGTAAAGAATGCTCCAAAAAGATAACATCATTTCCTTGTTCAAAATATAAATAAAGTTTCATATTTCAAAATTGTACGGGTCAACTAGGTTATACTACATGACAAATATTTAAACTATATGCATTGCAGTTTCATGAAATAAGACTGATATGTGTTTGCTCATACAAGACTATATCAACAAAATGATCCCAAGGCAGGGCCAATATTGACCCAAGGGGTACGAGTAATACCAGTTATTTTGTGGGCCACAAAGTGATTTTACATGCCAAACATCCAAGCCCCGGGCATCATAGTTTCACACAATAGGTAACATGTCTTTTTCCTATATAAGTGTATATAAATTAAATGACCCATGGGTTGGAGCCAATATTGAACCAAGGGGCATGGTTCATATCAGTTTTGAAAGGTCAATGAGGCATTGATACATGCTAAATATCTTAGCTCTAGACATTGCAGTTTAACACAATGAAACTTAAAATGTGTTTCCGTATATACTCGTAAGTTTTTATAATACTGTATGTTTGTAACATTGCTTTTAATTGGATAATCGTCATGTTTCTATAGTTTTATATACATGACTGTTTTCAATTTATAAAGAAGTCTCACAGTTTTGTCTCTTACAATGATGCTAAATTGCTATAATATAAATTTGTTATAAATATTTCTTACAGGTCTTATGGCCGTAAATTAAAGGGTGTTTGAAATATAGTCCTTGCATAATATAGCTAATTAAATATATAAACTGTTAGAAATCTTTGTTAGTTATAGTATAAATCAAGTAATCCAGACAAGAAATTTTGAAATTTATACAAAATGATCATGTTTGACCTTGACCTGAGAAAGGTCAAACATGCACTATGCACAATGCCTCATTATATCATAGTATGAACTCTATTGTTCTGTTAACTATTTGATTGCCCCCTATCTCTATTTGGTAGTGCAGATGGAAAACCAGGTGCATAACAATATACGCCAATATTGTTTTGGGCATAAAAAATTATGACCAATGTAAAAGTTTATGGCTGGCAATGAGAATAGAAACAGACAGCATGGCTGTAGCAATGACTTTATTTAAAAGGTCGAGTTAAAAATACACTAAAAACTATCACTGTAAATATAAGGGTCTGAGATATATATAAGGAGATGGTCATATAATTGCCTGGTCAGCTAGTAAACAATGAATATAAACTTTACCTGTTCTGCAATTACTTTGAGAGCTCCCTTTATTGAACCAGTAAAATCCAACACTACATGTACATTTTCTATTAATACATTCAGCATTTGGATCTGAACATTCGTTAAGTACACCTCCTTGACAACTGCCACCAAGTCCAACATCTGAAATAAGATAATACATTGTGAAATTGATAAATATAAATATTAAATCTGAAATAATAATTGTACATCTTAATAGATAAGATTTTTCGTATATTTTATTAATTTAATTGCTACAATTTTCTCATTAATATTCGATTCTATCAGTATTTCAAGCAAGACTAAGTGTGTAGTTTTACAATTTATAATTGATTGCTTAGCACATTACAAATGTTTTATATGGTGAGGATCTATATAGATTGATGATTTAGATAAAATTTTAGATAAAACATGTTTTAGCAATAGCTTGAATGTTTCACTATTGAGAATTATTTGGCAGTATAGTACACAATGAAGAGTATATCTTTGCTAAAATAATACTTTATCAGTTTAATTTAAGAATAGACGGCAGGTAGATGACAGCTCTGGTTGCTTGTTGCAAGTTTATAATTTACATAATTTATATAAAGCACATTTTCCCCAAGATATGAATGAAGTTGTCCTTTAAATAGAGCGAACACGAGTAATACTTAATCACTATAACTGTACTTATTACTGAGAAGCAACAGAAGCAAAATAATTGTTCAGGTAATTGGCTTAAAATAAGTTGAAATCTGTAACATGTTACCAATTTCATAAAGAGAAATAAAGACAAAGACAAAGCATTCCTGAGGCATAATGGGCCTTAAGAGAAATCACAACTAAAACCCATGAATCTTAAAATGTAAGAGAAAAAAAAACCGTTTCAATTCTAGTGGAAACACAAACATTCCCTTATCACAAGTAAAAAGCCATTTCTCTACATTCATAGAGGATATTAACGTATCTACATTATAACACTAACATTTAGCGCGTCTTTAATATATGTTTGTATAACGTAAATAACGTCACGTCAAAATATATGCATGGCCGTGCAATACCTTTTTAACGGTTGCAAAAGCAGCAGAGGTAAGTGATAAAGGTACTTAAACTGTTTACTACAAGATGCTCAAATATAATACATTTTCTATTGTGATATCTACATACATGAAGTATCCTAATTGAGATGTGTTTTATAGCCATTAGGACAAACCTCTTTTATAACAATTCCGATAGCGAAATGCATATAAATAATGAATCTGTTAAGACAGATTTTTTACATACATTGAGTGTAAAATTCGATCTTGAAGGACTATATAGTGTAATAGTTGAATGTTAACTTAAAGGGAATTCAACAAGGTTATTTGACATGATGGGATTTGTATTTTTTTAAAGATTAATGTTCCATATGATCTAGACCTATAACTGGTGCACATAATTTAAGATTATTCACTCATTCGGCTTACCCAGAATAATTATTCTAATTGTTTTTCACTCAAATAAGGTTTAGAGTTTACCCAGAATAATTATTATAATTGCTTTTCACTCAAATAAGGCTTAAAGTAGCACAAATATGATTTTTAAATCTTTTTTCTAGAATATTTCTTAATTACCATTTGCAACTCCTTCTATTCTAAGCAATTCTATGTAAGATATTCAATTTTTTTTCCCGAGTTTTGGACCTCAGTTCAGTTCCTTTAATATTTCATGTTCATTATATAAAACTCAAATACATTTACACAAGAAATTACTCTAAAGATTTAAGATACAGCTGCTTTCTTCTGCATTTGTAGATTTTCCAACACATCCCTGTAAATTTATATAGTTTCTTTAAACTGCAAGTTATATTACTTACTTGGTTTACAAATACTTCCATCTTGATGATAACGATCATCACAGGAGCAGATATAGGATGACCCTCGACAGCTTGCGTTTTGGTACACACACTGTTTACTGTTCGAATGGCTTCTGGAACAAGAGGCTCCAAGATTTATCCCTGTAATCATACAATTACATTCACTTTAACATTATACACAATTTTTAAGTGTTTTCTATCATTTGAAACTTTACTCATGTAAAATGAAATTATGATTTTCACAATTTTACATGCATCAGGATGTTTTAGCAGTAAGAGCTTTAATATATACTATATGTTAAATATAAATATCAAATAAACATACTTGTCTCACAAATACCTCCAATGGTATTGTCAGTGTTTGTATCGTAATATGTGCTAGTACATCTACACTTGCTTCCAACACATGCAGCCCGAGATGATGAACAGGCATTTGGCATTGGACAATTAGAGCCAAGGCCAACCTCTGAAAATATAGAAATATATAAACTTCATACAATTATTAACTTTTTTATATCACTTTACATGGACAACATAACTTCATACAATAATACAACAATAAGCAGCTTGTGAAACTTGCTTTATATCATTACTTTCTATATCTCATAGAAATATCATACATATCTTACAGTTGTAAACACGAAAAAAAAGCACAAAAAAAATTCCTTTCAACTGACATTTTTTAAAATGAATATAACATGAAGTAAGATATTAAGGCCAGAAAGAAACAAATCAATAGGGGTCATCTACTAATTATGACCAATCACTATGTGAAATATGAAGACTTGTAATAAACAGTAACTAAGCTAATAAGCGGAAACCATACTACCATTCAAGAACCATGTGACCTTTACCTAGTGACCCCTAAATCAATAGAGGTCATAATTTCATAACATAGCAACAAAAAGATGGGTTTTCAGCTTTGAATCTCAATGTCTGAGAAGTTAAGAAACAACTTGCTCATTACATTTGTTGGTTTAATTCCCAAGATGCCACACGATATTGTGTCCTACAACCGAACAAACAAGAGCTGTGAGTTGGACAGCAAGCTTGACTATTTCCAATGCTTTATAGTAAAACAACAGTTTGGATAATGTAAGAATTATCACACAGGAAAACTAATCATTCACAAAAATACAGTAACCATAATGTACATGACAAAGTTTTGAGTGTCTTGGATATTCAGAACAAATACTTTTATTAGGTTCACAATATATAATAATTGACTAATGGGCTAATGAATATGATGTGAAATTTACCAAAAAATCTGGCATAATTTTGTCAGAAGGCTTGATTGAGTTACCAGTTCCTGTGTACAGGTTGGTGATATGATTCTGTGCAGGTGTTCAAAGTTTCAAAACCAGATGGAATTTGTCAATGGAACTTGAAAATATTTGAGGAAACGCAAACTTTAACATTAATTCAAAGTAAAAAAGGTGTATTATTCTGTCGGATAGAGTTACCTCCTCCTGTCTACAAGTTTGAGACATGATGGTGAACAAGTGCGCAAAGTTTCAGATGCAGAGGTCAATGACATTTGAAAATATTAGAGGTGGTACACACACTTTTACATGAAGTAGAAAAGGGGCATATTTTTGTCAAATGCTTGATAGAGATACTTCCTTTTGTGTACAGGTTAGGAGCGATATGGCCAACAAGTGTGCAAAGTTTCAAAGCCATATGTCAATGAAACTTTGAAACTATTTGAGAAGGTACGTAAACTTTAACTTAAATTCTAAGTAAAAAGGTGCATAATTTTGTTAAAATTTCTTGATAGTGTCACCTCCTCCTTTGTACAGGTCGAGGGGCATGATGGTGAACAAGTGCGCAAAATTTAAAAACCCTATGTCGGTGGACTTTAAAAATATTTTAAGTGGTTTGCAAACTTCAACATCAGTGGTTACGTCGAAGCTCGGGGGACTGGGATAGCTAATCCTTATTCTTCAAATAGTCGTGCTTAAAAACAGAAAGTAACAAAATGCTTTTGATTTCTAAAGCCAAAATGTGGTTAAATGATAAATCATTTAAATCATTAGTATGATTGTTATAATCTAAATTTCTTTTATATGTCAATCTTATTTAATAATCTTGTAAAATTAACGCCGAATACTTTAATGTATAATCTATCTATATTGACTTCTCTGTGTCACTTAATCTTTAAATTTTCTTATTCATTTAATAGTGTACTTCAATATTATTATTCCAGCTATTTCATATTAATGTGTCAAGCTTAAATTATTATTTATTAATCTGCCAATAACAATGCGAATTTAATATAGTTCCTGCTTAATGTTAAATATAGTAAGATGTTAATGGTTCTAGGTGACAATACTTTTTGTATGATCAAGACTTTAAATAGGCCCTTAAGAAATAATCATCAGATCTGCCATCACTTATCCATTAAATTTGTTATTGTTTTATTTCCATTTTTTAAATGTGTTAATTAAATCTGCTTGATTGACTTGTATGTATATCAGGTTTTTTTTCGCGAATATCTAAGTTTCGATTTAATCATGATGAATATCGCAAAAAGTAGATTCGCTAAATTTTCCTTCAATTTCATACAGGGATTGCATGAGTTTCCGGAACTTTCTTTTCTGCTTTTCATTATGAAATATCAATTTTTGATAGCCATGGTTGTTTGGAATTAAATCTTTGTTATTATTGTTTTTACTTTTTCTTTAGTAAATAAAAGTTGTTAGGTGACACAATGTGCATTTATGCTTATTTAACTGCTTTTCCTATATAATTTGATAGTTTACACCTTAAAAATAGGCAACTGAACAATAGCATGTCAACAATAAGGGGAGGTGATGAATTAAGTTTGAAATACAGAATACATACATGTAATCGATGCATCAATACAAATATTGAAAACAAAGTTTTAACTGAGAAAAAAATAAATCACTGACATTAAGGCGGTTTCTCTTTGTCACACAAAAGAAGCATGTACAGATTCTTTGAAGTCATATTCCAGCTTGACTATCACAGAATAAAATCCTTTTGTTTTATAATTTAAATCTTGCATAACGTCATGGACATCCGGGATTGTCACAGAAATTAGCCGACCGTTCCAGAGAAGATATTTGTGTAAACAATAGAAATTTGAAACTTATTTGCAGCAAGAACGTTTTAAATAATATGCAATTATATTCATAAGTTAATTATTCTAACCTGTTGATGTCAGAACAATTTCCCAAGACAGTTTAGTAATACACATAACGGTTGACTGTTTGGTATATATATGACATTTCTCAATCAATACTGGGAAAACTTGTAAACAACCGTTTGCACAAATGACTCCGACTACAATTATCTAGCAGTTGTTCACGTATGCAGGTTGGCAAAGTCTTTTAAATTCATAAACAGGCTGCCCGTTAGTGACGATTGACACTTCTAGTGCAGCAAACGATCTCTAGTGCCTGTCAGTCATGTGTCTCAAGGAAAAGTTCATATTATGATAAGCTTAAAAGTTACAATTTTGTTTTTAACTGTCATTAAAAGTTTTGTTTATTAACTGTCATTATATGCATTTGTAAGAAAATAATTGCTCGGAAATAACTTTTCTTCTTCAAATCTTTGCCTACTCGCAATTATTTTTGAAGTGTGATAATTTGGTTCATTTTGATTATCCAAATTTAGAGACGATTACTTAGCATGCTAAATTAAAGTAGGTCAGACTTTTCAATGTTGCCGGCCGTGAAGCTTCCGCAACTTAATCAGCCGCTTTTTTAAAAACATTTTTTCTTTATATGATGAGGCATTGTCACAGTATACAAATTGTATCATAATATTTGTAAGTTGTAGATATTAGCATACTAGGTTATATACTGCTATGTTAATTTCAGACACATTTTTAAAATGACCCGGAAATAAGTCATGAAACATCCGTATCACATGATTAATAATGTACATAAGAAACATTTATTAAATAAACACATACTTATAACACAGTTATTTCCATTCCAATAATATCCAGATACACATTGGCAAGTTGAACTTCTACATTCAGTATTTGGCCCTTCACACTTGTCCCCAAATATAATACATGGTTGCCCAAAAGGAATCACTGGAAATTAGACGTCATATATATATTTACTACACTTTTGAAATTATAAATCTTTTCCTCTTATCATTCTAAGATTTAACTTACCACATTATTGTAAAAGGATAATGAAGTTTTACGTGGCACTTCTCATCAAGTGTAAACATGGTAATGCATGGTCAGTATGACCTTTACCTTTACATCAGCCTAGCATGATCATGTATTTTATGAAGTTTGTTGTCTAAGTTACTGACTGAAAACAAACTAACCTAAAGATAAATCAACATTCTTTTTTTTGTATCAATCTCAAACTGTTATAGAAAAACATCTAAACGCAGTCGCTGTGTAAGATGAATTATAGTATATAAAAATAGAATTATACAGGAAAATACATACAGATAGTCAGTAAGAGTCAGATTGCAAAGATCAGAAAATACCACATTGTAGCCCTTTGATTACAATAATACATCATTTCCTCTTATCACGTAACACATTATTGTAAAAGGATAATGAAGTTTTACGTGGCACTTCTCATCAAGTGTAAACATGGTAATGCATGGTCAGTATGACCTTTACCTTGATACATCAGCCTAGCATGATCATGTATTTTATGAAGTTTCTTGAATATGGATCAAATGGTTGTCTAATTCTGATCCGAAACACAAATTGACATTCCTTTTTCTAGAAAGAAGGCAAAATTAATTTGATTTGAACTACTAATTTTTGAAAACAACTTTTTGTGACTTTCCTGTGATATTATGTTGTAAGTTTTTAAGGGTTTTTTTTGTCAAAAAATTCTATGAATGCTCTACTGTAATTGCTAATCAGATAAAATATGTTTTTTTTTATTTAAGCAATTTTCATAAAGTACTTGCAATGATCATTGCTGCACGAGAAGATGTTGTTTCTTTAAACTTATTCTTCTTTTAGATTTGGTGGCCAACTTGTTTTATGGACTGGAACCATTAGAGAAGACCCACAAATAATCATGTCTGTATTGTTTTATCACTATTAATTGGCAGAGGATGCGGCATAATTAAAATTGTAACCGACAGATGACCACCACAAGGGTATTATTAAAGTTCACATGAGTTTCTTTGTCCTCTGGTGAGCCTAAACAATTATTATGCAAATCTCTTTAAATAGTCCATGAATTGTGCATATTTCTACTAAAAACGCTACTTTTGCTACAAATTTTAGCATTTATGAAACAGATAAAATTTTACCTGGGCAGTTTTGAGAGTTACACTGTTGACCTTGAGAATATATGTGCAATACTTTAGGATAATTTACAAATAAAATATTACCTTGACAGTTTTGAGTGTTACACTGTTGAATGCCAGAATCACTTCCAAAACATGGTGCACCACCATATTGTGGTGGAGGGTTTGTACAAGTTCTAGACCTGGTTTGTGTGCCTCCAGCACATGAGACTGAACAAACACCCCATGTTGACCACTGAGTCCATCCACCATTAACTTTAATAAATAAAGATAAAAAGGTTAATTCAATTATTATAGTTATTTTCTCTGAATGCATTCATTCCTCATAATGGGGGAGTTTCCCACACTCTACTGATAAGCGGAAGTAGTAAATAAGAGGTATACAAACTATGGCCACTTGATGTAAACACAGAGATTAATAGAAAGTTTCTGAGTATTGCGTCTGGTCAGTTGTTAAATTAAAGAAATAGTTAATTACCAAAGGGTTTCAGCAGCAGGAATAAAAGAAGATTTTATCATTTAATATTAAGCTAATCATATTTAACAAATTGAATATATTACATTAAATCTTTTACAAACATATAAACGGCTTTATTTTTCAACTGTACAAGTGTACTATGTAGACTGAATAACAGTATGAAAATGAACTTGGAAAATAATCAACACTTTTAAAATACAATGCCTTTAAATACATTTTATTTACGTAGAACTAATTAAAGTGAATTATACTATATGTTTGATATAATCTTTTTTGGTATATCTATAAATTTATGATGCTTCAAATAAATATAATCATATAGAGTTTCTTGCTTCAAATTTGTTCTTTAGTAAATAAAATGCATCTAGTTACATATTTTTTACAGATTGGAGACGTGTGACAGAAATTAAGACTTTAAGGGAGAACCCATTCTGCTACTTTATTACATGTTCAAAGATCCTGTAACACATATTTTCATGGTTTTATTTCATAAATATGATGCTCAAATAAAGATTTGTCAATTTTGTAAGGTCCAATAAGCATTATTTATAAAGATATTACCCAATTTAACATTTCATGTAAATTAATGGAGATAATTAGAAATTTATTTTCTATAAATTCTAATTCAATTTTTCCAATAAGAAATGAATGCATGTAATTAATTGATTAAATGTTATGTGCGCAAATATTTGCAGTACACATTTTACATATTCTTCGATGTTTGAAAATTGTTTGATTTGCATAATTATATACATATATAATTTTTTGCAAGTGTGGTATACACACAGTAACAATATCAATCACAAAACATACAGGATCTTTAAAGGCAAGATATACTTGTTTGTGCATTAAAACGTGACATAATCATGATAATGTGTGTCTGAAATAATAAAATTTTCACATTATATATCTGTCTTTATTGTTAATGAGTATCAACTACGTATTGTACGATTCATGACATTCCATTCTAGTAGGTATGTCAAATCACTTAAATATTTTCTACAATCAAGCTAGTTTGTCAACAATTTAAAATCATGAAAAAGACGTATAAAATATGTGACCCCTGTTTAATTATAGCTGCAGGAAGTTTTGATTTTAGAATTTTCAATTGCTTTGAAAATCCTATTACCCGTTCAACATGTATCAGTTTTGATGTTATGCACCTGTCTCTGACTACAGGCAACAAGCAAATTACTATTACTATATAAATATAATTTTATATAGTAAACGGGTGCTGGATATTAATTTTGTTCTTGATGATCAATAGGTGATTATTATTATTAATTATTATGACAATTTGATCATTATTGGCATGGCAAATGTGCGTGACCATAACTTCATTTTATTACCATCACACCCTTCTAAATTTACTGCTACTCTCCATTTACTCTTTAATCTTTTATCTTGTGGAAAATGAAACCCTCAAAACCAATTACAAAGTGGAACACAACAATAATTCACCATAATGATACTAAGACTAGTGTTAATCAGTTTACTTGGAAATATAAACTTTAGCTTATTAATTAGATCAGTTGATTACAAAAACTGCTTTTTCCCATTGAAATTCAATGTAAACCAGCTATACAGCAGAGTTGTATACCTCTTATTTGTCAGGGGCGCTGCAGAGATAACTCTGCTGGATTATCTAGAAACTCTCCCATTGATAATTTGCCTTTTTATATACAAGTAAGGAGCAAAAGTCAATGTGAAGATTCATAGGTACAATAACAACAACACTTGAAAGGGTCAAAATGTCCCTGAATCTCTCAACTGAAAATATGTTTTAAATGAAAAAATATTGTATTATTATGTCAATCCTATTTAGTTCATCTAAATCAGCAGAGTGGTTATTGAAATGTTATATAAGTTTTATTTCTACATTAAATTTACAAGGAAGTAAACAAGTTCAGGAAACTGTCATAACTTGAGCTACTTCGTAATGTTTTAATGCCAATGACAAAACTGCAGCAATCACAATAGCTAGACTTTCTCTTCGTAACAGACCAGCTAAAAATGCAACAAGAGAATGTTCAAGTTTTTTTAGTAAATTATGGTCTTGCTACTACATTTAAATGTTATATTTTGGTATACAGCCATAAAGCCATAGGTCAATTTGAATTTTATAATGTACACTTCTTGGATATGGAAATGGCTCAGGTATAGCAGTGTATTGTTTGACAAACGAAGTCCATTTGAACAACTAAAGTAAATGACCACTTATGGATCATTTCTATAGAATTTCATCAAAATATATCGAGCCACTAGGGAAATGCCATAATTATGAAGCTTATTTCTATTTTTAGCTCTGGTTGCAGTCTTGTTTAACAAACTGGATGAATTTAAGCAATTCTTTTTAAAAGAACTACCAGTACCTGGTGATCAGTCTGTACAGTTTCGATTCATAGAAATCTACCACATGATTGAGGAGGTAATGTTGTTCAAAAAGTATCTCTATTTTTCGCTCTGGTGACCATCTTGATCAACCGAATTGAACCATTTAAAAGTTTGAGAGGACCACCCAAGACCATTCCTATTTTGTGTTATCAAAATCTACAAAGTTGTGACATAGTATGTAGTTTAAAGATTTTTATTTTATAAACTTAGGTGACCTCCTTCAACAGACTAAAACAAATTGATCAAGGACAACATGAAGGACTTTTCATCAAATCTACCAAGTTAAGTTCAATAGGGGATGTTGTTTTCTGCTTATTTCTATTTTCAGCTGTTTTGGCCATCTTGCACTGTTCAGTGGACGAAGTAATTTGAGCATTCTTTTTTATAAAGGACCAACATATGACAATTTCTGCATAGTTTCATCATTCCTGGCCAAGTGGTTTAGGAGATAATATTGTTTAGGTAAAAATATTAATATCAGATGACGAACTTATGGGTATCAAAAGAGCTCAATCTTGAGCTTGTTGTTCTCTGATGAGCTAAATAATTTTTAATTTTAAAATGTTTAATGCAATTTATTGTGCAAATCATAATCAAAATGCACTACTTTTGCTTCAAAAATTTGCATTTGTTAAATAGATAAAATATTACCTGGGCAGTTTTGAGAGTTACATTGTTGACCTTGAGAATATATGTGCAATCCTTGAAGATAATTTACCAATTTTCACAAATATGACAAAATTTAAAAGAGATAAAATATTAACTGGGCAGTTTTTAGTGTTACATTGTTGACTTTGAGAATCACTACCAGAACATTCATGCAATCCTTTCAGATAATTTACCAATTTTCACAAATATTACCAAATGTAAGACAGATACAATATTACCTGGACAGTTTTCAGTGTTACACTGTTGAGAATCAGAACCACTTCCAGAACATTGTGCACCACCATATTGTGGTAGAGGATTTGTACAAGATCTAGACCTGGTTTTTGTTCCTCCAGCACATGTGAGTGAACAATCACCCCATGTTGACCACTGAGTCCATCCACCATTAACTTTAATAAATAAAGATAAAAAGGTTAATTCAATAGTTATTTTTTTCTGAATGCATTTATTCCTCATAATTGATAATTTGCTTTTTGATATACAAGGAGCAAAAGTCAATGTGAAGATACATATGAACAATAACAGAAACACTTAAAAGGGTCAAAATGTCCCTGAATCTCTCACCTGAAAATATGTTTTAAATGAAAAAAATAATGTATTATTATGTCAATCCTATTTAGTTCATCTAAATCAGCAGAGTGGTTATGGAAATGTTATTTAAGTCTTGTTTCTACATAAAATTTACAAGAAAAGTAACAAGTCTAGGATACTGTCATAATTTGAGCAACTTTGTATTGTTTAAATGCCAATGACAAAACTGCAGCAATCACAATAGCTAGACTTTCTCTCCGTAACAGACCAGCTAAAAATGCAACAAGAGAATGTTAAAGTTTTTTAATCAATTATGGAATCAATTGCAACTACATTTAAATGTTATATTTTGGTATACAGCCATAAGTCAATATGAATTTTATAATGTACAATTCTTGTATATGGAAATGGCCCAGGTATAGCAGTGTATTGTTTGACAAACGAAGTCCATTTGAACAACTAAAGTAAATGACCACTTATGGATCATTTCTATAGAATTTCATTAAAATATATCGAGCCACTAGGAAGATACCATAATGATGAAGCTTATTTCTATTTTTAGCACTGGTTGCGGTCTTGTTCAACAAACTGGAACAATTTAAGCAATTTTTAAAAAGGACTACCGGTACCTGATGATCAGTCTGTACAGTTTCATAGAAATCTACCACATGATTGAGGAGGAAATATTGTTCAAAAAGTATTTCTATTCTTAGCTCTGGTGGCCATCTTGATCAACCGAATTGAACCATTTTAAAATTTGAGAGGACCACCCAAGACCATTCCTGTTTTGTGTTATCAAAATCTACAAAGTTCTGAATAGTATGTAGCTTAAAGATTTTTATGTCATAAACTTAGGTGACCATCTTCTTCAACAGACTAAAACAAATTGATCAAGGACTTTTCATCAAATCCACCAAGTTAAGTTTAAGAGAAGATGTTGTTTTTCAGCTTATTTCTATTTTTAGCTGTTGTGGCCATCTGGCACGGTTCAGTGGACGGAGTATTTTGAGCTTTTTTTATAAAGGATCAACATATGACAATTTCTGCATAGTTTCATCACTCCGGGCAAAGTGGTTTAGGAGATGATGTTGTTTAGGTAAAAATATTAACATCAGATGACAAACTTATGGGTATCAAAAGAGCTCAATCTTGAGCTTGTTGTTCTCTGATGAGCTAAATAATTTTTAATTTTAAAATGTTTAATGCAATTTATTGTGCAAATCATAATTAAAATGCACTACTTTTGCTTCAAAAATTTGCATTTGTTAAAAAGATAAAATATTACCTGGGCAGTTTTGAGAGTTACATTGTTGACCTTGAGAATATATGTGCAATCCTTTAAGATAATTTACCAATTTTCACAAATATGACCATATTTAAAAGAGATAAAATATTAACTGGGCAGTTTTTAGTGTTACATTGTTGACTTTGAAAATCACTACCAGAACATTCATGCAATCCTTTCAGATAATTTACCAATTTTCACAAATATTACCAAATGTAAGACAGATACAATATTACCTGGACAGTTTTCAGTGTTACACTGTTGAGAATCAGAACCACTTCCAGAACATTGTGCACCACCATATTGTGGTAGAGGATTTGTACAAGATCTAGACCTGGTTTTTGTTCCTCCAGCACATGTGAGTGAACAATCACCCCATGTTGACCACTGAGTCCATCCACCATTAACTTTAATAAATAAAGATAAAAAGGTTAATTCAATAGTTATTTTTTCTGAATGCATTTATTCCTCATAATTGATAATTTGCTTTTTGATATACAAGGAGCAAAAGTCAATGTGAAGATACATATGAACAATAACAGAAACACTTGAAAGGGTCAAAATGTCCCCGAATCTCTCAACTGAAAATATGTTTTAAATGAAAAAATAATGTATTATTATGTCAATCCTATTAAGTTCATCTAAATCAGCAGAGTGGTTATGGAAATGTTATTTAAGTCTTGTTTCTACATTAAATTTACAAGGAAAGTAACAAGTTTAAGATACTGTCATAATTTGAGCAACTTTGTATTGTTTAAATGCCAATGACAAAACTGCAGCAATCACAATAGCTAGACTTTCTCTCCGTAACAGACCAGCTAAAATGCAACAAGAGAATGTTCAAGTTTTTTAATCAATTATGGAATCAATTGCAACTACATTTAAATGTTATATTTTGGTATACAGCCAGAAGTCAAGTTGAATTTTATAATGTACAATTCTTGGATATGGAAATGGCCCAGGTATAGCAGTGTATTGTTTGACAAACGAAGTCCATTTGAACAACTAAAGTAAATGACCACTTATGGATCATTTCTATAGAATTTCATTAAAATATATCGAGCCGCTAGGAAGATACCATAATGATAAAGCTTATTTCTATTTTTAGCACTGGTTGCAGTCTTGTTTAACAAACTTGAACAATTTAAGCAATTTTTAAAAAGGACTACCGGTACCTGATGATCAGTCTGTACAGTTTCATAGAAATCTACCACATGATTGAGGAGGGAATATTGTTCAAAAAGTATTTCTATTCTTAGCTCTGGTGGCCATCTTGATCAACCGCATTGAACCATTTTAAAATTTGAGAGGACCACGCAAGACCATTCCTGTTTTGTGTGATCAAAATCTACAAAGTTCTGACATAGTATGTAGCTTAAAGATTTTTATGTCATAAACTTAGGTGACCATCTTCTTCAACAGACTAAAACAAATTGATCAAGGACTTTTCATCAAATCCACCAAGTTAAGTTTAAGAGAAGATGTTGTTTTTCAGCTTATTTCTATTTTTAGCTGTTGTGGCCATCTGGCACGGTTCAGTGGACGGAGTATTTTGAGCTTTTTTTATAAAGGATCAACATATGACAATTTCTGCATAGTTTCATCACTCCGGGCAAAGTGGTTTAGGAGATGATGTTGTTTAGGTAAAAATATTAACATCAGATGACAAACTTATGGGTATCAAAAGAGCTCAATCTTGAGCTTGTTGTTCTCTGATGAGCTAAATAATTTTTAATTTTAAAATGTTTAATGCAATTTATTGTGCAAATCATAATTAAAATGCACTACTTTTGCTTCAAAAATTTGCATTTGTTAAAAAGATAAAATATTACCTGGGCAGTTTTGAGAGTTACATTGTTGACCTTGAGAATATATGTGCAATCCTTTAAGATAATTTACCAATTTTCACAAATATGACCATATTTAAAAGAGATAAAATATTAACTGGGCAGTTTTTAGTGTAACATTGTTGACTTTGAGAATCACTACCAGAACATTTATGCGATCCTGTAAGATAATTTACCAATTTTCACAAATATTACCAAATGTAAAACAGATAAAATATTACCTGGACAGTTTTCAGTGTTACACTGTTGAATGCCAGAACCACTATTAAAACATGGTACACCACCATATTGTGGTGGAGGGTTTGTACAAGTTCTAGACCTGGTCTGTGTGCCTCCAGCACATGAGACTGAACAAACACCCCATGTTGACCACTGAGTCCATCCACCATTAACTTTAATAAATAAAGATGAAAAGGTTAATTCAATAGTTATTTCCTCTGAATGCATTCATTCGTCATAATTGATAATTTGCTTTTTGATATACAAGTAAGGAGCATAAGTCAGTGTGAAGATGCATAGGTACAATAACAGAAACACTTGAAAGGGTCAAAATGTCCCTGAATCTCTCAACTGAAAATTTGTTTTAAATGAAAAAATATTGTATTATTATGTCAATCCTATTTAATTCATCTAAATCAGCAGAGTGGTTATGGAAATGTTATATAAGTCTTGTTTCTACATTAAGGTAGACCATGGGTAATGGGCACCATAAAGAACTGTAAAATTGACAACATAGGACAGTTATATGTCTTCAAGGTCACCTGTATGCAAAATTTAAATAAAATTTACCGTGTGGTTTATGAGTTATGGATATATTTCTTAACTAAGACCTTGCCATTTGAAGGGCTTATTTTCAGAAATGAGGAAACTGTAAATAATCTGTAATATCATCATTATAAAAATGTTTTTCTATTGCTCATTGTTTAGAAACAAATAATAACATTCAAGTAACACATTACACAACCAAAATGTTTGGTTCTAAACAAAATGTTCTTAAAATGTATAAAAATGTAACCCTACCCCACCCACCTTTAACACTAATTTTACCATTTCCCTATCTAAAATGCCTTATTCAAAATATCCCTAAAATTTATCGAAATGAGGGTCTGTTTTCAAACTTTGCCTAAATTTTTTCAAAGGTATATTAGTTGATCATGCGAAATATAAAATACTTTTACCGTGTAGTTTTTATTTTATCGAACTTTGAAAATATCTGGTATCATATTTGTTATAAATTTTGGCATTATTTAACCAAAAAAATACCTAAAATAATTATGTTATTAAAATCAATCTTTTTTTCTTCCATAAGGGATCAGAGAGATACATAAAAAATGTTAAAAAGAAAAAAAGAAAGAAAAAAAAGTTGCCCCTTCTGGGGTTTGAACCCACGCCCCTCAATTTCAATGTAGTTTACAAGCGATTCTAGCCTATTTGAATACTCTTCAAAGTGGAGGTAATGCATTACCCATGGTTTACCTTAAATTTACAAGGAAGTTAACAGGTTCAGGAAACTGCCATAATTTGAGCTACTTCGTAATGTTTTAAAGCCAATGACAAATCTGCAGCAATTACAATAGCTAGACTTTCTCTTCGTAACAGACCAGCTAAAAATGCAACAAGAGAATGTTCAAGTCTTTTTTTAGTAAATTATGGTCTTGCAACTACATTAAAATGTTATATTTTGGTATAAAGCCATATGTCAAATTGAATTTTATAACGTACAATTCTTGGATATGGAAATGGCTCAGGTATAGCAGTGTATTGTTTGACAAACGAAGTCCATTTGAACAACTAAAATAAATAACCACTTATTGATCATTTCTATAGAATTGCATCAAAATATATCGAGCCAATAAGGAGATGCCATAATTATGAAGCTTATATCTATTTTAGCTCTGGTTGCAGTCTTGTTCAACAAACTGGAACAATTTAAGCAATATATTTTAAAAGGACTACCGGTACCTGATGATCAGTCTGTACAGTTTCATAGAAATCTACCACATGATTGAGGAGGTAATGTTGTTCAAAAAGTATTTCTATTTTTAGCTCTGGTGACCATCTTGATCAACCGAATTGAACCATTTAAAAGTTTGAGAGGACCACCCAAGACCATTCCTGTTTTGTGTTATCAAAATCTACAAAGTTCTGACATAGTATGTAGCTTAAAGATTTTTATGTAATAAACTTAGGTGACCTCCTTGAACAGACTAAACAAATTGATCAAGGACTTTTCATCAAATCTACCAAGTTAAGTTTAAGAGGAGATGTTGTTTTTCAGCTTATTTCTATTTTCAGCTGTTGTGGCCATCTGGCACTGTTCAGTGGACGGAGTAATTTGAGCGTTTTTTTTATAATGGACCAACATATGACAATTTCTGCATAGTTTCATCACTCTTGGCCAAGTGGTTTAGGAGATGAAGTTGTATAGGGAAAATATCAACATCAGATGACAAACTTATGGGTATCAAAAGAGCTCAATCTTGAGCTTGTTGTTCTCTGGTGAGCTAAATAATTTTTAATTTTAAAATGTTTAAGTCAATTAATTGTGCAAATCATAATTAAAATGCACTACTTTTTCTACAAAAAATTGCATTTGTTAAATAGATTAAATCTTACCTGGGCAGTTTTGAGAGTTACATTGTTGATCTAGAGAATATATGTGCAATCCTTTAAGATAATTACCAATTTTGAAAAATATTACCAAATGTAAAAGAGATAAAATATTAACTGGTCAGTTTTTAGTGTAACATTGTTGACCTTGAGAATCACTACCAGAACATTTATGCAATCCTTTAAGATAATTTACCAATTTTCACAAATATTACCAAATGTAAAACAGATAAAATATTACCTGGGCAGTTTTCAGTGTTACACTGTTGAGAATCAGAACCACTTCCAGAACATTGTGCACCACCATATTGTGGTAGAGGATTTGTACAAGATCTAGACCTGGTCTTTGTTCCTCCAGCACATGTGAGTGAACAATCACCCCATGTTGACCACTGAGTCCATCCACCATTAACTTTAATAAATAAAGATAAAATGGTTAATTCAATAGTTATTTTCTCTGAATGCATTCATTCCTCATAATTGATAATTTGCTTTTTTATAAACAAGTAAGGAGCAAAAGTCAATGTGAAGATACATATGTACAATAACAGAAACACTTGAAAGGGTCAAAATGTCCCTGAATCTCTCAACTGAAAATATGTTTTAAATGAAAAAAATATTGTATTATTATATCAATCCTATTTAGTTCATCTAAATCAGCAGAGTGGTTATGGAAATGTTATTTAAGTCTTGTTTCTACATTAAATTTAAAAGGAAGTTAACAAATTTAGGATACTGTCATAATATGAGCAACTTCGTAATGTTTTAATGTCAATGACAAAACTGCAGCAATCACAATAGCTAGACTTTCTCTTCGTAGCAGACCAGCTAAAAATGCAACAAGAGAATGTTCAAGTTTTTAGTAAATTATGGTCTTGCAACTACATTTAAATGTTATATTTTGGTATACAGCCATAAGTTAAGTTGAATTTTATAATGTACAATTCTTGGATATTGAAATGACTCAAGTATAGCAGTGTATTGTTTGACAAACGAAGTTCATTCGAACAACTAAATTAAATGACCACTTATGCATCATTTCTATAGAATTTCATCAAAATATATCGAGCCACAAGGGAAATGCCATAATTATGAAGCTTATTTCTATTTTTAGCTCTGGTTGCAGTCTTGTTTAACAAACTGGATGAATTTAAGCAATTTTTAAAAAGAACTACCGGTACCTGATGATCAGTCTGTACAGTTTCGATTCATAGAAATCTACCACATGATTGAGGACGAAATGTTGTTCAAAAAGTATTTCTATTTTTAGCTCTGGTGGTCATCTTGATCAACCGAATTGAACCATTTAAAAATTGAGAGGACCACCCAAGACCATTCCTATTTTGTGTTATCAAAATCTACAAAGTTCTGACATAGTATGTAGCTTAAAGATTTTTATGTCATGAACTTAGGTGGCCTCCTTCAACAGACTAAAACTAATTGATCAAGGACTTTTCATCAAATCTACCAAGTTAAGTTAAAGAGGAGATGTTGTTTTTCAGCTTATTTCTATTTTCAGCTGTTTTGGCCATCTGGCACTGTTCAGTGGACGGAGTAATTTGAGCTTTTTTTAATAAAGGACAAACATATGACAATTTCTGCATAGTTTCATCACTCCTGGCCAAGTGGTTTAGGAGATGATGATGTTTAGCTAAAAATATTAACATCAGATGACAAACTTATGGGAATCAAAAGAGCTCAATCTTGAGCTTGTTGTTCTCTGGTGAGCTAAATAATTTTTAATTTTAATATCTTTAAGTCAATTAATTGTGCAATTCATAATTAAAATGCACTACTTTTGCTACAAAAATTTGCATTTGTTAAAAAGATAAAATATTACCTGGGCAGTTCTGAGAGTTACAATGTTGACCTTGAGAAAATATGTGCAATCCTTTAAGATAATTTACCAATTTTCACAAATATTACCCAACGTAAAAAAGGTAAAATATTAACTGGGCAGTTTTTAGTGTTACATCGTTGACTTTGAGAATCACTACCAGAACATTTATGCAATCCTTTAAGATAATTTACCAATTTTCACAAATATTACCAAATGTAAAACAGATAAAATATTACCTGGACAGTTTTCAGTGTTACACTGTTGAATGCCAGAACCACTTCCTAAACATGGTGCACCACCATATTGTGGTGGAGGGTTTGTACAAGTTCTAGACCTGGTCTGTGTGCCTCCAGCACATGTGACTGAACAAACACCCCATGTTGACCACTGAGTCCATCCACCATCAACTTTAATGAATAAAGATAAAAAAAAAGTAAATTCAGTAGTTATTTTCTCTGAATGCATTCATTCCTCATAATTGATAATTTGCTAATTGATATACAAGGAGCAAAAGTCAATGTGAAGATACATATGTACAATAACAGAAACACTTGAAAGGGTCAAAATGTCCCTGAATCTCTCAACTGAAAATATGTTTTAAATGAAAAAAATATTGTATTATTATGTCAATCCTATTTAGTTCATCTAAACCAGCAGAGTGGTTATGGAAATGTTATATAAGTCTTGTTTCTACATTAAATTTACAAGGAAGTTAACAAATTTAGGATACTGTCATAATATGAGCAACTTCGTAATGTTTTAATGCCAATGACAAAACTACAGCAATCACAATAGCTAGACTTTCTCTTTGTAACAGACCAGCTAAAATGCAACAAGAGAATGTTCAAAGTTTTTAGTTAATTATGGTCTTTCAACTACATTTAAATGTTATATTTTGGTATACAGCCATAAGTTAAGTTGAATTTTATAACGTACAATTCTTGGATATGGAAATGGCTCAGGTATAGCAGTGTATTGTTTGACAAACAAAGTCCATTTGAACAACTAAAGTAAATGACCAATTATGGATCATTTCTATAGAATTTCATTAAAATATATCGAGCCACTAGGAAGATGCCATAATGATAAAGCTTATTTCTATTTTAGCACTGGTTGCAGTCTTGTTCAACAAACTTGAACAATTTAAGCATTTTTTTTTAAAAAGGACTACCGGTACCTGATGATCAGTCTGTACAGTTTCATAGAAATCTACCACATGATTGAGGAGATAACGTTGTTCAAAAGGTATTTCTATTTTTAGCTCTGGTGGCCATCTTGGTTAACCGAATTGAACCATTTAAAAATTTGAGAGGACCTCCCAAGACCATTCCTGTTTTGTGATATCAAAATCTACAAAGTTCTGACATAGTATGTAGCTTAAAGATTTTTATTTAATAAACTTAGGTGATCATATTCTTCAACAGACGAACACAAATTGATCAAGGACTTTTCATCAAATCTACAAAGTAAAGTTTAAGAGGAGATGTTGTTTTTCAGCTTCTTTCTTTTTGCAGCTTTTGTGGCCATCTTGCACTGTTCAATGGACGGAGTAATTTAAGCATTCTTTTTTTATAAAGGACCAACATATGACAATTTCTACTTAGTTTCATCACTCCTGGCCAAGTGGTTTAGGAGATGATGTTGTTTAGGTAAAAATATTACCATCACAGACTTATGGGTATCAAAATAGCTCATCTTGAGCTTGTTGTTCTCTGGTGAGCTAAATATTTTTTGATTTTAAATCTCTTTAAGTCAATTCATTGTACATAATTCTATTTAGGAATCTTCTTTTGTTACAAATATTAGCATTTATCAAATACATGTAGATAAAATATAATCTGGGAAGTTTTGATAGCTACACTTTTGACCTTGAGAATCACTACCAGAACTTTTGTGCAATCCTTTAGGATAATTTACAAATGTTCAGAAACATAACCAAATGTAAAACAGATAAAATATTACCTAGACAGTTTTGAGAGTTACATTGTTGACCTTGAGAATCACTACCAGAACATTTATGCAATCCTTTAAGATAATTTACCAATTTTCACAAATATTACCAAATATAAAACAGATAAAATATTACCTGGACAGTTTTCAGTGTTACACTGTTGAGAATCAGAGCCACTTCCAGAACATTGTGCACCACCATATTGTGGTAGAGGGTTTGTACAAGATCTAGACCTGGTCTGTGTTCCTCCAGCACATGTGACTGAACAATCATCCCATGCTGTCCATTGAGTCCATCCACCATTCACTTTAAAAAAATAAATATATATATGTTATTTTAAAAGCTATTGTTCTTTTAATGCATTCATTCCTCATAATTGATGATTTGCTTTTCTGAAAATATATATTCAACATCAGAAACACCAGAGGGCTAAAATGTCCCTGAATCTCTTATCTAAAAATATGGTTTAACTGGAAAATATTGTATTATTATGTCAATCCTATTTAGTTTATCATATTTAGCAAGTGGTAAATCTTTTTTTATAGCTTCCAGGCAGTTATCATCAGAAAATAACAAAAGAAATGGCCCTTTATTCTGTTCCGACCAGAAGTCTATGCGGTTGTCTGTCCGGATTTGTCCAGTCTATATCTTTCTCATTTTTCGAAGGATTTCAAAAAAAAATGGTACAAATTGCTTTTTCTTAAAAGGATTACAAAATTATTTGGTATAGATGTCCACCACGATGGGATGGTTTGTCAACACAAAATCCAGGTCCACCCCTCAAATGACAAGGTCACACTTGCGGGGTCAGCACAAAACCTGTGTCCGCAGTGTAATTTCTACATGCATGGTAGTATACAAATGTAGTACATAGTGAGGCGGAAAATGAAGGTAAAAGTCACAAGTTTTCAAATAACAAGAGCTGTCACAGGAGACAATGAAGTTCGACTAATTAAATACTGGACACAGAAAGGCCTTTTTTAAAAAAAAATTTGGTTAATTTTTTTTTTTCAAAACAAAATTAGGGTTGGAAAGGGAAAAAAGAAAAGATAAAAAAAAGAAAAGAAAAAAGTTTTCATATCTTAATCATCTGGAAGGTGAGATACTTTGTAAGAATTTCTTCTTTTATGATTAGTCAATCCGGATACTGATAAATGTGTTGCATACAAGTTTCAATCTATTCCTTTCAGTAGTTATGGAGATACCAGCTTACACGCAAAAACTTAACCAAGAATTTCTTTGTCAAAAAAGGGGTATAATTATGCAAAAAAGCAAATCAGGGTTATGGGACTTGTGCCAATCATGTTAGATAATCACAGAAAACAAGTGTGTGAAGTACCAATTCAAACCCTTCAGAAGTTATGGAGATACTTGCTTACATGCAAGAACTTAACCACAGGGACGACGTCGCCGACAAATGGGTGACTGCATTAGTTCGATTATCCTGCAAATAGTCGAGCTAAAAATGGTAAGACAAAAAGAATTTGAAGTTTTGAAGATGTTTTTTTAAAGTGAAATTATAAGTTCAAAGGAAGATTACTCTTGAAAAAAAAGATGCTTAAGTTATGAACCTTGTCATACATGATGTGAGTAATGAAAAAAGAACAATTATTTCTCTTATGTCTATAATAGTAGATACCATTTAATAACAAAGATACAGTAAACTTCACTTATAGCGAACACGGTTATAGAGAACTTCCGGTTATAAGGAACATTTTTGCCCTAATTTTGCCCTTCATTATTTAATATGAAATATACAGTTATAGCAAACACGGTTATAAGGAGTTGTCGCTTATAAGAACTCATTTCTTAGTCCCAATTTAGTTAAAAGTGCAGAAAATGACACTTTTATAACGAACTCCAAAAAAATGGCTATTCGTAATTAGATCCAACATCATTTTCAACTTCCATTTTCATTGGCACGGATTAAAGCTGGGCCACATGTACCGTTTGTTTTTGGTATAACTATTTCAATTCAGCTGTGAAAATGAACTGTTTTTCCTTTTATTCTATTATTTCTTTAATATTTTCGTTCGAGTAAAATAATATCAATTATATTCGGTTTTCAACATATTCACGTATGCTATTCCTTGCTAATCCATTGAAAACTACAAAGTATGCTTGGTTGAAATGAAAAAAAAAATCTTTATCTTTCATAAGTTAAGGTCAACCTTAAACTGTAATAGAAGATATTCAATATACAAGGAAGGAAAATGGAAAATATTGCATTGTTTATTCTTAACAAAAAGCACTGAGTTTAGAAACGAAATATATTTTATAAGAATTTGAGAAAGGGAGTAAAACTAAAATTGATAAAGCAAAGGATTTTCAAATTCCAAAAAGTACGCTCTCGGGTATTATGTCTAAAAAGAAATAAATTACCATTTTTTCTTAAGGTAAAAACCCAGTTTGTTATGTGTAAATCTGTTCGCTATTGAAAAAATCTGGAAACAAAGTGATCCCTCGGAAGCATTAATCACAACAAAATTACAAGAAAATTGCAGACTCGGTTTGATTGAGTCTGTACATGAGAGATAATGAATATGTGCAACATCCCTCACGCCCCCTAGCACCGGTTTGAGCGGTACTCAATTCTCAACACTTAATAGTGCTGGCATCAATGATCCCGAAGGACCAGAAAAATATAACAACACTGAAGTGAAGTACGGGGCAACTTTTTACAGCTGCCACACAGCACTTGACACCTGCTGTTGTGAAGTATAAAAATCTGGACACAAAGTGATCCCTCGGAAGCATTAATCACAACAAAATTACAAGAGAATTGCAGACTCGGTTTGATTGAGTCTGTACATGAGAGATAATGAATATGTGCAACATCCCTCACGCCCCCTAGCACCGGCTTGAGCGGTACTCAATTCTCAACACTTAATAGTGCTGGCATCAATGATCCCGAAGGACCAGAAAAATATAACAACACTGAAGTGAAGTACGGGGCAACTTTTTACAGCTACCACACAGCACTTTACACCTGCTGTTGTGAATTATAAAAATCTGGATCCCTTGGGAGCATTAATCACAACAAAATTACAAGAGAATTGCAGACTCGGTTTGATTGAGTCTGTACATGAGAGATAATGAATATGTGCAACAGATTTTGAATGTCCAAATGTGTTCGTTATATTAAGCGGAGTTTACTGTTATAATAACAAAAATAAATTTACAAATGAATGAACTTCAAAAATTAAATGGAGATAATTTTGGGAATACAGGAGTGTGAATAGCAGCTTGTGTTTTATAACTAATATCCATACGTCAAGAATTTATAGTAAAAAAATGCATTTGTTAACGTAAATTTATGCCAGGTTTAATGGGGAATAATTCTGGAAATAGTTATGCTAGAGTTATGGACCTTGTCACACTACATGTGTGTAATGATAAGATATATATTGTTACGAGCCAAGCGTAACGAGAAAGAAAAGCCAGCAACAAACTCAGTAACAATAACAAATTTATTACAGAAAAAATATTTAAGAAAAATTAAAGAACAATTTATGTTTACAAATACCTGAAGTCCAAATAAAGATATAAATTTCAAATGTCTAGTCTGATCCTGGAATGATCCCTTTTTGAATTGCACAGTTAAATCCAAGTAAAATCCAAGAACACTTTAGAATAAATTCCCACAATAAAATCCACAAGAATAATTTTAACTATTTTAAAAATAATGACTTAAAAGTTAACTGATGACTTAAAAGATAAAAGTAATGAAAAAATGTCCCTTTATATATATTAACTAAGAAAATTCCAGAAAAGTCTATTATGTTCTACAGTAATCATAATCTAGCAACTTCAACAATAAAGAACATTCCGGAAGTTTCCTTGTTGATCTTGTTTATCATATTCTATCTAAATATAATGCATGAACCATTATCTAGAATTTTCTACAACAGTTAAGAAAGTTCTAGTACATACATGTAGTTTATGTTCTAAAAATAGAACAGTGAAAATACTATATACATATAATATGTTGCATACATAACACTTCCCCTCTTTAAGAAAAAGAAATATGAATGAAATGAATATTTCTTTTTCATAAATCCAAACAATGTAACTTACGAATAACGTAGGAGAAATGTTAAACAATTTTATACATAAAATCATATATATGTGTATTATAAACAATAGCAAACAATGAAGTAAAAATAATCAATCATATTATATATATATGTTAAATTTAAAATACTGAAAATAACAGTTTAAGACACGTGAAAGTGCATCAGGGATCAAATTATCTTTCCCTTTAATGTGTCTAATGTCAAGACTATATTCTTGCAAAAACAAGCTCCACCTCAACAACCTTTGATTTTTGTTTTTAAGTTTATGCAAGAAAGTGAGGGGATTGTGATCACTAAAGACAACAACAGGCAACTTTGAAGAAGTTAGATAAACTTCAAAATGCTGAATAGCAAGAATAAGAGCAAGACACTCTTTCTCTATAGTAGAGTAATTTTTCTGATGTTCATTAAACTTTTTAGAAAAGTAACAAACAGGATGGTCAACACCATTGTTGTCTTCTTGGATCAAATTACACTTCTAGCACCTATGTCACTAGCATCTACAGCTAACTTAAAGTTTTTATTAAAATCTGGTGCCAAGAGGACTGGTGCACTCTTAAGTATGGCTTTAAGGCTGTCAAATGCCATTGGACACTTGTCATTCCAAATGAATTTGTTTCTTTTCTTCAGTAAATTTGTCAATGGTTCTGCAATAACCGAAAAATTATTACAAAATTAACGATAATACCCTGCCATACCAAGAAATTGCATCAGTTGTTTTTAGAAGTAGGCACAGGAAATTCAGAGATAGTTTTGACCTTAGCTTCTATTGGTTTTACTTTACCCTGTCCCACTACATGTCCTAAAAATGTTAAAATTGCATGACAAAATTCACTTTTTGCAAGATTAACTGTCAATTTAGCATCACTAAGTCGGTCAAAGAATGCTCTTATAGTTTTGAGATGATCCTCCCATTCATCAGAGTAGATGATTGCGTCATCGATGAATGCGTCACATCCGTGTAGACCAGATATTACCATGTTTATAAGTCTCTGAAAAGTTGCATGTGAGTTTGTCATACCAAAGGGCATGACTTTATATTGATATAAGCCGTCTGGTGTTACAAAGGCTGACATTTCTTTAGCTCTATCAGTAAGTGGAACTTGCCAGAATCCTGTTAGAAGATCAAACTTTGTTACATACGTTGCTTTTCCAATTTTTGTCAATACAGTCATCAATTCTTGGTATAGGAAATGAATCTGTTTTTGTTCACTTTACGATAATCTGTAC